TGGCCGTCCACTCCACCATGCCGCCCCCTATCACTTTCTGAAACAAGCAAGTATTAGGGAACACACTCCCCATAAAGCAAAGCAGAGCCGGCTCATCCCCTCCCCACCTCTTTCCGGCGTGTATTTTTCCTGGGTGCTTCCCCCCCCCCCTCTCTCTCTCTCTCTCTCTCTCTCAGGAACAAGAACGGGAAATGAGGCGGGGAGAGAGAGGACGCCGCCCTCGCTCGCCCCCGCGACGCCGCGCGGTGCACGCCCCGGTGGCGCCGCTGGCGCTACGACGCCCTCCCCTCCCGTCCCCTTCCCTCACACCCCCACCCACACTCTCCCTCTCTTGCGCGCGATGGTGTGCCTTTTGTGGCTCGTTGTTGGAAATATAATAACACAAACACATGCACCGGGGAGCACTACAATAGCGTGAGGGTGCGAGTCGTCGCCACCCCTGCCTGCACTGCACTGCCGCCCGCTCCCGTCTCGCCCTCCCTCCCTCCCTTCTCTCTCTACTCACCCCAACCTCTTCCTCCCTTCCACCTTTCACATAGACGAGACACGGCCACTCGTTCCGTCGCCGATATGCCCTTTCGTAGCTCAGCCGTGGCAATAAGAATGAGGGAAAGAGCGCCGTCTGCGAGGGGATCGCTCGGACAGACAGACATACAGACAGACAGACAGACAGACAGATAGATAGATAGATAGATAGATAGATGAATGGACGACAGTTCTCACGCGCGCCTTGGAATATATTTAATTACTCCCCTTTACTCCTTCTCATTCCGCCCCCCTCTCTCTCTCTCTCTCTCTGTCACACTCACACAGGCACACACATTGTCAGATGCACCGCTGCTGCAGCAGAGACGCATGCGTCGCACCGACGGCGGCGGCGTCCGCGGCAGAGAGAAGGAAGGGCAAAGAGAGGCGGAAGTAGAAATAAGGAAATAATCGAGGGGAAACAACACAATCGTCTGCCGGATAATCACGCACCCACCCACCCACCTACCAACCCACCCACCTACCCACCTACCAACCCACTAACCCACCAACCCACCAACCTACCCACCAACCCGCCAACCACGCCCAAACAATGTATTTTTAATGGCGTCTCGGTACGGCTAGCGCAAAATGCAGAACACAATCTCGTTGATTTGTTTGTCTTTGGGCCGCTGATCGACCGCCCTATGGAAGGGCCTCGCCCTATGGCCTCACTCACTCGCCCGTCCGCTCGACCCCATGGGCGTTTGGCCGCCGAGCGAGCTCGTCCTCGTCCGGGCCGCCGCCGTCGGCCATGTGCACTACCGGGGCGTGCTCGAGCGCGCCAACGCCGCCTACTGGCGTGCCAACGCGCTGCACTGTGGCCTCCTCGGCCTGCTCCCGGTGCGGGGCTGGCCCTCGCGCTGCAAGCCCTTCGGAGCGACCGCGGCGTGCGCAGCCTGCCTCGCGGGGATCCTGCTGGATTCCTCCGTCGTGGCCCTCTCCATGCAGTTCCACCCGACCGGCCACAGTGTGGCCGTGACGCTCGTCCGCTTCTCGCTGCACGTGGTTGCGCTCCTGGCCGCGCTGCGGCAGCGGCGTGCCCTGGCCGACGCCAGCGAGTGCCTGCGCCTCTACTGC